GAATGCAAAGTACTAAGTAACTCCGTGATAATTGTAAAATCCAGTATACTGTATATATATATATATATATATATATATATAAAAAGATACACTGTATATATATATATATCTATTTACTGTAATAGTAAAATCCACTCAGTGCTATTGCTTTGGTAAGACAACTCTATGCCTTAAGTCCATGCACATTTGCAGCAGTGCTTTAAAGACAATAAAGCTGAAACCAGGTCGTATATTATATGAAGTAATTCTTCCTCTACACTTGCCTTCTGAGAGTGATAAAAGCTATTAACTTTGTGTGTGAATGTCATTTAAATTTTGCATTCCTTTTTTTTTCTCCCCAGTGATCAACAGTAAATTAAACCACTACGTGGCTTGTTTTTACAGATGAAGAGAGAATTGAAAGCAGTGCATGAGGGAGCTTTTTATTCCTTAAGACCTCACAGAAACCAAATTCAGTGAATGCACCTTCTAAAAGAATAGTAACAGAACATTTAAAATGTATTCCTCTACAACTCTATCTATATTTCCTTTATCTGATTTTATGAGGATCCTATTATGTTTGTACATATATGAGAATAAATGGGTTCAAAATTACACAGATTTTACTCTCTCTTCTCAGCCAGTTGGATTATTTTTAAATCAATTAAATACAGTGGCAGGCCACTAAGCCTGTCTGTGATATTGTGTCTTTGTCAGCAGTTTACTTATGTCTTTCCCAATTAATTAAATGGGAAACAGTGAGTGGCTGATGCATTGCTATGCATGGTATGTAGGACAAACCACACCTGCCACTGTGCATAAAATCTGCTTAATGCACATGGCGGAAGCACACATGCACACAGCATATTGTGCATGTGTGTAGATATTGTGAAGAGTTAATTCCTTGCCAAGATATTTGCAGCTTGTCTTTCTTTTTGAACACACTAGCCCTTATCTTGCATTTTCTTCAGTTTATTTACAGAATTTTTAGTCTGCTTGCTCTGGCTTAACAATCTCCTGAGCAAGCAGACTGAAAATTCAGTAAACAAGCTGAAGAAAACTCGAGATAAGGTGCAAAATATCTAGAAGAAACAAGAGTTGTACAGATCAGAAGACCGAACTAAACTTTCAGCATCGTGGATTTTACACAGTGTGCAAAATATTTTTCCTTATAATGTATATAAGCTCCACCACTCAGCTGTTTTCTTAACATGTATATTAAATACTAACAAACCCTAAAATGTTAGTATCTGCAAAAATTTGACCTCCCCACTGAACATTGCTCACCATCTGCTTTACATCTTCACTTTATTGTCCACAATTAAGCTTACCATTGTAAGCCACAATGCTTTTCTATTTTTCAATTGCATCTCAGGATCTGTATCTCAGTTTATTTTTGGCCTGAAAACCAAATGAAGAGGTAGCACAGTGCATTGGTATTTTCTGATTCAGTCTCCAATTTCAGTTTTCTTTTGCCTTCTCTACATGTGGGAATGAAAAAGGTTTTTTTCTCCCTTTTGCTTTAACATCTTCCCATACCCTCACTAAAATGGCTCAAGTACATGATAGCTCCCACATCTCCTTTTCAAAAAGTGCCACTGAAATGAACAATGCTGGAAAACCTCCCTAACTGCCATTAATGCCTTCTGCAAATGCTAGCAACTAACAATGAAATGGTTACTGCTGTGTGCAGACTTCTGTAAGCATCCTCAAGTCCAGCCTTGGCCAAGACCTGAAATGGCTTCTGAATTATGCATTTATCTCTCAGGGAACACCATTCTATTTTAGAACAGAAGAAGCCACGTGAACTTATCACACTGCCCCTTCCTTCACAATTTTTTTGCTGCTTGACATGTCCCCTAGGCAGATTGTGTGAGACAGACCTTTCCTCTCTAAAATTCTGCCATTTTTGGCAGCCTTCTGACATGTACTCTATTCACTGCCTGCATTTATTGGATCTCAGCTGAACCATTCTCAACAGCCCATATTTTGCTGTTACATTCCTCATCCTGCTATCACCCAGCTCTGTAACTCTATCTTGTGTAACAAAATATTCTCACTTGTGAAAAAGAATGGTATGAAAAAGAGCATAAACAGACTTTCCCTTAAGTCTTTACATAAGTCTCTTGTGTAAGAGCCTGGGGGGAGGTAAGAGGTGCAAACACATGCCCTGTGGGCGATATTCCAGCCTCCAGGCTGGAATTATGACAAGGACATTTAGACAGCCTGCTTGACAGACTGGTTCAACAAGTCTCTCTAAATGCAAGTAAAGCTTTTGAATCATCCTACAAGATTTTATCTTTTTCCAGATCACCCTCTATATCCAAATATTTATTGCTGGTCTCTCTGTTCTTCTTTCCTTTCCCATGTCTTGTCTGGGCATACTGTCCTTTATCACAGAAAGTGCACTAAGCCTTGTGTAGACCTTCTGGACTGCTCTTGTACTTCTAAATGAAATAAAAAAGTTTTCATATTTAACAAGTTGTGCACATTTCTGCACAATTTTTATCTCTAGTGTTGAAATTGTAGAACTCATTATGCTGGAATATTTTGAATGTCAAACGGAAATTATATTAGGAAAAAGATTAGACAGATTTAGGGAGGATAATACACATGTAGCTGGTAAACAAGGCAGAGGCACAGTTTCTAGTTTAGAAAGTCCTCAAACTTTTGAACAATTGCAAAAGCCAGGTTGCTCCAAAGGACAGTTCATTCTGAGCTTTCTGCTGTTCCTTTCTTCACTTGATAGCTTAATAGAAAATGTTGCAATATTTTGCATGATGAGGTGTTTACTAAAGACTTGTCCAACATAGAAAACATGAAATTTAATTTTTAAAGAGGGTATTTTAATGCGAGGTTTAGTAAATTTAGGCCATATTTCAAGGATTTACTATAAAAACTATCAGTAACACTTATTTTAAACATAGAAGCTTTAAAAAAATTGAAACAGAACTGGCTGTAGAGTATTATAGATGAAAATATATATTTTTGGGTTTGTATAGGCTACATAAATGGATACATCATGCATAAAAAATGATACTTGTTTTCCCATTACTCATTATAAGGCAGTGGTGTCTAATGGGAGTAAACTAGGTTAGTAAACTGCTTCTTCAGCAATTTACCTTCACAGTTGATTCCAGCTGCAACAAAAAGATAAATCATACGCAAACATTTCCAGATAGCCAAATTACAAGCAATTTAGATTTTACTCTTTAAAATTGCTCATCACATTTGTAAGATCTCTTGTTCCCATATCATAGTCTTCTGTTGTAACTCCTTTTGGTAAAAGTTGTTGTAACCTTAGTGCCTTGCTAGCAAAAATTACACAGAGGGCATTTCTCCTCTGGAAAATGAGTTCATGTTTTGACCTTGTTTTATTTATCTACATATTTTTATAAAATGTTTTCAGTATGGTCACCTAATTAAACCCAGAGATCATGACCTGCGTGACTACTTGTATTTTCAAAACAGTAGCAGAAAAATTCAAGCTGAACTTATTATCTGTAAAATATGTATAAAAATGTGCTTACTAGGAAAACTTATTGGATGCATACTGCTTTAAAATATTTTGAGAATAAGGTCATTATTCATAAAAACTTTCAAACCACAGACACTTTATAGCAGGGTGTATAAAAGTCTTCTCTTTCCTACTGAAGAAGTTTTATTAATTGTCGGCTCATAAATGTGCTTTTGAGACACAATGCTAAGTACTTTTGCGATACTTATGTAGTTGAAGGATAATTTATGTGAAAATTAGATGACTGTGTGCATTACCACTACCTCCACAACCTTGCTTTATGCACTTTGACATAGAAAGTGATGACACAGAACACCTTTTCCTCTTTAAAACTTAGATGACTCAGGTTATAAGGTCAATAAATGCTGTCCAAATCACTCTCCAACACACGGTTGCCATTATTCATACTGGAAAAATTCCCTCTGCTAGGAGCAGTCCTCAGTCCATGATGTTTCCTGAGCATTTCACTGGCATTTTGGGGAAGATTGCTATTTGTCCATACATACATTTGTCCATACAGTAAATAAAGCCAGCCCTACAGCTCGTCTCCAAGACCTGATCAGTTTGCTAATGAAGCTCCAGAGACCTATCTTTTGGACATAAAATGGAGTTGTAAGATTAGAAACCTTCTACTCTGAATGTTTGATATACCCGGGGGACAAGGAATCCCAAGTTCTGGACCACTTGTGATTTTATTTATTGATTCTTATTGCAGAAGGATAAATAAGCCATCCCCAAAAGAACAATAGAACCTTGTTCCCCCTTGCTGTCTGAGAACAGCTTAATGTCTGGCAATATTCAATTTTTTCTTGCACATCTGTTGACTGTTTGCTTATATATCCTTATGTAGCCTTTCTGCTTTAGATATCCTTATAAATCCTTTCTAACTGGTGGTGCAGCTGCACAGGTTCAGAAAAATCTCCCTGTCATGTGAGTTACTGCTTTTCAAGTAGGCCAAGATTTTGTGGACAGAACATCTTTCCTGGGGTGTTTGAGTTGATATTTTGAGATCCCCTCTGAAACTGATGGGGGACTAGAATAGACATTGTTTACATCCTGAAAGAACACCCAAAGGTACAATGAAATAAGTGAAAAAATAAAAATTAATTTAAAAAAAAGGGGTTTTCTGCCATCAAGACTGGTTTGTAAATAATGGAGCAATATTGGACTGTGAATCTCAGTCTCGTTTAGTTTTAAGTCCAGATGAGAGCAGGATATCACCCATTCCCTTTTCTTCTGCATAGAGTAAGGTTTGGCTTAGATTGTCTAGATTGTTTAGATTTTCTAAACATGGACATTTCTCCCATTTAAGTGATTTAGGGATCTAGAGGGCAATTTAGACCACCAAAACCTCCTGTAGGGTGTTGTATAACATTAGCCATGGAAATATTTGGACCCTTTGCTAAATATTAAACCCGTGTTCCTATTTAAACAATTCAAGTCTCTTTAAGGCTGTGCACAGCATTATTAAAATCTACTCGTCTGCTTAAATCCCTCAGGCCTGAGTTATTCCTTTATATGGAGCTACTGCACACTGGAAACAGCTGCTGTCAGCAAAAACAGCCTATCTGAAAACCTACAAAGCTTCACAAGTCTTAACAGCTTAACAGACCACTACAGAACAGAGGTGTGAAGTTTACTGAAGTCCAATTGATTAAAGTCACATGCCAGTCTTAGCTGGAAAGCAAAGAAAAGAGGTATTTATAAATATTTGGAAAAATCTTTCAAACAGAGTTGGCAAGTACAGCTTCCTTGAAGATTTCTCTGTCTTTGTTGTGTTGGGATAGATCTGTAAGTAATTTAAGATAGTACAGATCCATCATTTTCAAAAGTACATCTGGGCTTACAGGAGCTGAGACTCTCACCCTGTGAATTTTAGAGCACAGCAGGGGCTTATTTTGTATCCATAAAACACCCTGCTGTGAAGTAAAAATTATTTCCTGACAATCATATGCATTTTTAAAAAAAGAGTGGTATCAACCTTTTGGCTCATGACCACAAATTTATCAGAAATAAATTTAGCAAAATGTCAGGGAAAAATGTCCAGTTGGGGAAGATATTTTGATTTAAGCAGAGCAATTGTTCTTTCTGGAAGTTTGAAATAGCACAAGTCCAAATTAAATTAGTAGCAACCAGAGACTATGATGCAGCATAGTACAGTTTCTCAGAACTCCTAGGTAACTAGAGAAATCCTCTGTTGAAATTCAAGGTTTTATTTAATTTCAATCACTGTTGAATCAGAAGTTGCCCTTATATGTTTGCATTAAGGGCTGCCATGGGTACCATTTTGTTTGTGGATGAGATGGTGCAGACCTTCAGAGAAGAACCTTTCACAGTCACACCTGGTTCTTACCAAGCTCAAGGTATCTAGCCAGGGGTAGATGTGACAGATGCAGAAGGAAGAAGAACAACCAAATGAGATTTTTTTTTTAAAATTATTTGAAAAATATTACTTTGCAGACATGGAGATTTTAGATAAGAGAGTACAGAATGTGCAAACCCTAACAGGTATTCTACAGTAATTGCTGACTGATAAAGTGCCAATGTAAGGAAAAAGCTCTTTTCTTAGAAACATTATAATGTCCTTTCTTTAACAGACAATTTGCTTGAAAACTTCCAAAGATATTGCCTGAGAAAGGCCCAAGATACAATTTTATTCCTCTTTTTAATTTTTTTTTCTTTTAGTGGAGTTGGTTTTTAAAAGAGTTTAAAATATTATCTATGCAATACCAGATATTCAAATGGTGCATTAATAAAGTATTGAATCATCATCTGTAATTAGTTTCATAAGTCTGAAACTGAAGAGCCAACATAGGTGAAGGTATGTATTTCATACAAATAATTTGTAAGAAATAGGTTAGAATCAGAATGAAATTACTATTCTGATATTCAGGGGTCCTATTGTTTTTGAATTTTAGCTCCTTGCTCTAAAAGGTTGGATAGGAGGCAAAAATTGTGAAATGAAAATAGTTTGTTATAGTGACCTTTCATTATGAAGGTTGAAATAGAAATAAGAATGGTTGCAAACACCACTTAGCTCTTGCACAAAAAGAAAAGGGTGTTGGCTGCTCTGAATTTACAGGCTTTAAGAGACGATCTCAGAGGTTTCTGCAAATGCAAGCATGATTCAGCTGGTTGTATTTCCTTACCAAAAGTTCCTGGGTTTGTGCCTCTTGTAAAAGTTAAATTGTGTCAGAATTACTATTGATTAGTCTTAGATTGATGTGTGATTAATTTTGCTCATGCTAGGAAAATGTTTTTTTACCTGAGAGTGTGTCCTTGGACATTTTTGTCACCGCTCACAGTGCATACTGACACAAACAGTGTAAGTCCTATGAAAAAAAAAAAAAAAAACAAGAGCAGAGATTTGAGTTTATTCTGCAAAAACCTTTATTCTTCTCTCCTTTAGCAGTTTTAAGGACATACATTTAGTTTATTGTTTCATTTTGTTTTTAAAGACGTAGTTGGATGGAGAGCACACATAATTTTGGAAGTACAGGAAATGAGGAAATTATGTTTGGGTGTGTTCAAACAAGACAGCTTTTGAAAATGGATGCAAATGTTATACACAGATTTCAGCTCAGGTTGCAGAGGGAATATGCTGCATTAAGGTATAGCAGTAGAGCTAATCAGCCTGTCAGAATTTAATAGCCAAGTGTCTTATATTCTAGATAATGGAGAAAAAACTCTTTTATTTTTGTTTTTAGTACTGTCTCAGGGATTTTTGTGCTCCTGGCTATGCAATAGTAATAATAATAATTTGATGAGGCAGCAAGTGGAAACAGGAGTTATAGTTAAGGTCCTTGAGGCAGAGATAATAGATCTTACAGTTCCTGGCAACCTGACCTTCCTTTTACTTGTTATTCAAAGGAAAACCACCTTGCTCTTCTTCCATCAGCATGTTGGGGCCTTTAAAAAATAACAGAGTTATGACTGCTGGGCTTTGCATTGAGTACCACCCTGTCTCTAAGAAGGAGGTGAAGGTATTTAGCATTCATATCATGCTGGACCCTCTGGATAAGGATGGAGGAGCCAGGGGCCTTCCTTTGCTGACAGAGGGGGATTTCAGGCTAAAGATGATGTTTAGAGATGATGGGAACTCAAGGGCTGCTCAGAGCAGCCCCTAGAGAGGCTTCTGTGTCTCTGAGGGAAACAGCACTGTAGAGCAGGTTTTCCTGATGATATTCCTGGACATCTGCAGTCTGTTATATTCCCACAGAGACAGAATGTGGGTGGTCGGGATCCTGCCATAGTATTGTTATCAAAGAAATTATTCTAAAAGAATGACTTACATAGAGTGAGAGCTACCTTGTTTGTCTAAAATTTAAAAATCTATGATTTGAACAAATTGTCATTTTATCTTCCAAAGAACACATTACCTCTGCTGTGTGGAATACCCATATGATCTGCACTGTCAGATTCTATTATTATTGTGACAGATACTGTAGCATATAAATTTTAAACTAATGAAAAAAATGTCATCTATCTTTTGGAGCTAAATGTTCAAAGTGCATCAGCTATTCAATTTGATAGATCATTCTTCAGACAGTTTGAGAAGAATTGCATATTAAAAATACAGTGAATGGGAGAAACCCTCACTTTTATCCAGCTTCCCATTTCTTAAACTAATTCTGGGGAACTCATGAGAGGTCTAGTTCAAAAAATTTTTCTTCACTCAATCTATCTGGGAAAAAAAAGGTAAATAAAATATTTCTATATTAAGATAAATTTGATTTGAATAAAAAAATAAAGCAGGGTATTAGAACTTACTAATGCTGTTTTTCTGTTTATTATGGTCTCCTGGAAACAGCTGAAAGGGGAAAGAATAACTGCGGTTTATTGCTTTCATATTATTCTGTAGGTGAATGGTATCAACATTTATGATTCTCTAATAAAAGAACACACACTTGGGTTTTATAGGCTAAAGCAGTTGATAAATTCCATTAAATGTTTTAATACAGAAAACTTTTCTTATGTGAAAAAAAAGAAATAAAAACCTTTGCAGGTTCCAGATGCAACAAAATTTTGGATGCTTCTAAAGCTGGACAGAAAATTAAGAGCTTGAAAGCTGAAACCCTTGGAAAATTTCAGATTGAAGACACTTGAACACAAGGGCAAATATGAATCTAACCATGAAATTTCCTAGACTGTTTTGTTTGCATGTTCATTAGCATCTTCATGTTAGCACGTTTCATTAGAATTAACATTTTCTTATGTTTCAAATGCTTCATTTTGCCAATTAAATCATTGCTTAAAATATCATCAGGGGCTCATTTTTCATGAGGGCAAAAACATTACACTTCTGTTCATGTATGACTTGTTACTCTCATCTTCCCTCTTTCTGTTACATACTTTTGGAAACCATAAAGTTTGTTATGTAAGCATAGAGGATGAAAACCAGCACATAAATAGTTAATTCTTAAAGCCACTAATGGTCAGGTTGAAATTACTTAGAGTATAACTTAAACAAAGGTTATATGATTTTATTGTAATTAATTTATAGGGACTCAGGAATGTAATAGCTATTTACCCCCTTCCTCACTTTCTGAAAGTCAACATTTGAGAAATTCACCATTACAGTTGGCTTCCAGACATTTTCCATTAACTCATTGGAAAAATTTCCTTTCCTTATTTGAAAAAGAGGGAAAGAGAAACACTTCCTCAGAAATTAAACAATTCCCCCTTAGAAAAACCTGTAAGGTTCATGCTGTCAGTGGAAGTTTGATTGCTTTTTCAAATGTGTTTCATTTCTATGTTCTCAGTAGATACAAGGGCTTTTCTTCCTGTCCACGTGCGCCTCAAGAGCCAATGCACAGAGAAGAAATTGGAACTTTTCAGGACTTCTTCAGGCATAACAAGGGGAACGGGAAACTTGTCATGTCCATACTCAGCTCCCTTCCAAATAAAGCCCTTGTACTGCTTTGGCAGCTAATGCTGAATTATAAATCAAGTAATAGGAGATAAGCTGAGGAATAGAAAACAACAGATTTTTCACTCTAAAAGGGAAGACATTCTAATGTGAAGAAACTTTTCAGTCTAAAAAATCCATGACATTTTAAAAATAATCCCTGTAGTCTGATTAAATATGGAAATGATCTTTAGACAAAGTGAACACTTCACATTTCTGAGCTTGATATTTTATTTTATTTATCTCCTGCAGATTCAAACAATTTCAGAGGATGTAACTAAACCACATGTGGTTTACCATTGATCTTTACCATAAATCAGAAGAATGATGAAAATTGTGGAAAAAGGTCAGTGAACTTTATTCCACTTCTCCTTCACTTATATCTTCTGTTATTTAAAATAAATTGTATTATTTTGTGCTACAATAACTTCTTGTTTTGGGGGGACAGCAAGTAATATCTAGGATGTTATTTACTTTGATTCCATAATAGAGTTTTGTTCATTTTCTGCTATGAAAAAGCCTCAGAGAAACACAGCAGGAACTCTAACACCAGATATTAAAACTGTTTTATTTTTTGGGAGAGCAATAACAGGCATTATTTATTTGATTTCATCTTCATTGCATGAATAAGTAGTAGTTATCCCTTGCATTTTAGTGGAAGGAAAAAGATCTAGTTTTGCTAGGATTACATTATTAATGCAATATAGTAAGTGAAATATTTTTCTTTGTTTTTTCCAAAGGAATATTTTAGAACAGGCTGAAGTACAGACACTGGGAAATGAGAAAAAGGTGGAGCCTTCTCCCTTAATCAAAGCTGCATCCGGATTTTGTCCAGGACTTCATCCACCATTCATCAATTTTTAAAAAAATTTTTGTCCTTCAAAGACTAATCTCAACATATTTTTTCTTTTTTGAAACTTAAGAAGTGTCCAATTCTTCGGAATATGCTGCATAAAAAACCTTCAGTACAATATGTTTGACTTCTCCATAAATAATTTTACTGTATGAAATCAGAGCTTCTTATTATATTTGGTCTTATTCGTTTTGATGTGCTGTGATTTTCCTGCCTCATGCTGTAGGTCATGCTGTGGGATTAGTTATACAGCCATTCTGCTACTGACTAGTAACTGACAGAAGCTGTTTTCATAACCTTTTTTGAAGATTGCAACATCTATATATGTATTTCTGTTTTCCAGCTTATCTTGACTTTTCAAAATACTTGCAAGCTCCTTATCAGCAGAGTTTTAAAACTTGTAGTAAGGAATAAGTTCCTTTTCCTAGCTAGCATGCTATCAGTTTGGGAAAAGTCACTTAAAAACATGAGCAAAAGAGTCTCAATATATTTAAATTGTAACCTTGAAAGAAAAAGGAATGTTATCTCAAATGATCAAGACTAATGATTCAGGATTTTAGAGATCATTATCAAAACTTCAGAGTCAAGTTAGATGTACTGGATAAGCCTGACTGCTGGATGGATTCAGAAGATCCTTGAGAGCAAGGTGCTTTGGCAGGCGACCTTCATCTGAAACACACATGTACATGTGCCCTCACCCAGCTTGTGAAAGGTGAAAGTTGTGAAAGTGTGCTTGTGAAAGGTTTTGTACGGCAATAACATCCCAGTCTATTTTTTTTCTTAAATCAGAGCACTGGAATTCACAGAGGAAAGTTTTCTTTATGCTTTAACAATCCAAATATACAAAAAAAAAAGTAGATAATTTTATCTTGATCTGCATGAACAGCCTAGAGTAAGTATTATTATACATGTGCCTAAAGATGAACCATCCTATTCACTTTGCAGGATGGAGAGAGCAGCATTGTGCCTGAGTTTAATGTTGCTGCCAAAAAGCCAGTTAAACAGATTATTAAGAGCTGTACAAGCAGCTTAAATTCTCAATCTAGATAAAAAACTCACAGTAGCAGTGGCCTTAGAAGTGATGAATCAGTGTAGTAAGGAAAAAAAGCTCTTTCGGTACTTTCTCAGTTTGTAGGGTGAAGATGTGCTCTGAAGTGTGAGTTTGAAGGTTTTTCCTGGATTTTAAAACATATTTTATTTTCGGTTGCGTTACAATCCGATTAGTGAGAGATGCCTCTGCCCAAATAAGTGCAGACCATATGCCACAGTCAATAATATGGATTTTATTTAACAATGACTGTGAGGTAGATAGGAAAGTGGGCTAGAGGAGAGGAGACCAAGCAGAAGAACATCTGTGGGTCCAGCAGTGTCCCTTGGTCCTTTCTTCACCCTGGATTTCTCAGTGGTGGGAGATCCAAAGCCATTCTTCTGTGGGTACCACCTTTATACAGCCCAGGTTTTGGTATCCATGGGGTGGTCACAGATTCCCATAACTTGGGATGATATATGTCTGGACAATTGCTTTCTTTCCCACAGTTTGTCACAGCAGGATTTTTTGTTGGGATGCTTTAAGCAGGATATGCTAAGCAAATTTCCTCTGCCAGGCCAGGAATTAGTGCCTTTTTGTTGCAAATGCCTCCCTTCTGTGCTTATCTCAAATACCTGCTGTGGAGCCTTATCTTGTGACAAGATCCTTCTGTGGCCTTGACAACATTTGAGACAGGCAGCTGGGCTCTTTAAGTCGTGAGAAGTATATTTGATGGTGTTTTAGTATTTAGAATTAAGTTTTAAATATTTAGTGTTTTAGTAGATGGTTTGGTAATTTTATAATTCAAGACTGACTTTAAATTAAATGGTTTGTTTTTTCCTACCCCTGAACATTGTTATTTTAATTCAAAATTTGCTACAATTTGACATGAATACGATATATTAACTATACTGGTAGTATAAAGGCTTATGGAAATTAATTTTTTACACTGACAATGTATAGCGCTGTATTCTACTGTATTCTAACAAATAAACAATATGTTCTCAATATACACCATGATAAGCCCTACAGCTACCTTGAAAGAAAAGCAAAGCACAACATAAGAATTTCAAAGGATATCTAGTCAGACAAGTGCATGGTACTACCCATGAAATAGATTTTAACTGGACTTACACATAAAATGAAAGTTAAATTTCTGAAGGTTCATTTCCACTCTCTTTTAAGATAGTAAGTAAATCAGAAAGGACATGGAACTCCTCATTCAGTAAAGGAAATTCAAATTGGAAGGGGCAATTTTCATGTTAGCAGGTCTTGCATCACTATTTCTCTGACTTGAACAACCTCATTTAAATACTCAGTGAAGGCATGATGGGCTTTGATGAAAATCTTGATAGAGAGTGAATGTTTTCTAATAATTTTCTTTTCCAGCCTCAGTTGAAATACTTTACAACTAATTTATTTTTTGTTCTCCATCATTTTCTTGTTTGAAATATTTTGTCACAAATTTTCAGATTAAATGATCCCTTATCAGTCATAAACCAAGTCAATATTAGTGATTTTTACTCCATGTGAAATACATTACAAACAAAGAAAAAAACCCCAAACTATAAACATATATTAAGCAAATGGATTGTGTAGGAAAGAGAAGTAAGAGAAGAAAGGGTGTATGAAGTCCTCAAATCAAATAGTTTCAGGTTACCCCATGAAGATCCATTATCAGCTCTCTGCAGTGTGGGAAGGATGAGTTAGGAAGCTCACAGGCACTGGCTTTTGTGTTTTGTTTGCCTTGAGTATGTCACAGCAGCACAACATTCTGTCATGCATTGAGGTGGTAAGGGTCATGGCAGGAAAAATTATAACAGATTCATTAAAATCATGTTCATATTAATCTAAAACTCAGATACATTGCAAATAATGAATGAGCTCTGCCAGACACTCCAAATGAATAATGGCAAAATCTATGCAATAAATAATTCACTTACGTGTGTCTTCTATTTTACAGAAACTTCTAAAGTGCTATGAGAAACATTTTTCGTAGAAAAAGAACAAACTTTTGGGAGTGAGGCAAATCTCTTCAGCTGTAATGATGAGATTCTTTTTAAGATCTATGACATGGAATACTGCTTCCACTGTATCTTTCAGAATTGTTTTCTTGATCACAAAATGAGAAGCAAAGCTGAGTGCATAGATGTGTTGCTGGGTCCTTTAACTTCCATTCTGAGTAATAATTCTGCAGACCTAAGATTTATGCTTGTCATAGATTACATTATACATGTAATCTAAGGCATATATATTCCAAAATGGAATGCCTCTCGTTATTGTTTACTTTTTAAATGGGAGATATGTCATAGCTGTGAGCTAAATACCTCTTTTGCATTCACATCTCTAAGTTTCCTAGAAAAACAATAATGTTAATGGAAGGTAGAGCATTTCATTTCGAATTTAGAGGCTTTTGTTGATAATGTTATTTAAACCCAGGAAGGTTATACTTAATTATAGATATGGCAGTGTTTTTGACAGTTCAACCTCTTTAATGGATTATCTTTCCTCATTTAAATATAAGAAGTAGGAATAATAAAAAATGAATCTACAAATTTAACAAGCTTCTTTTTATATGCTTAATAACTATCTTTGAAGGAGAATACACAGCACACTGAGCTTTAAAAAACTGACAATATTTATTAAGCCACAAAAGAGCTTATGTAGCTTTGTGATTATGGACAGGAAAGAATTTTAAAAAAGGCAAAGTTAGCAAAAAAAAAGCTTTAAAGTAAGCAGAAATTACATGTCAGTCATAGACATTAAAGCTGGCTGTTTTTAAACTCCAACTGCTAAGCCCTGGGCATGAAACAAGAAAATGATGAGGTAGGCTGAATGAAATGCACACAAATGCTAATGTTTAGAACCTTACCTAAAGTTAAAAATACAAATGCTTGCTTTAAGGAAAAGGTTTCAAATAAAATAAAAGAATCCATCACATGAGTCTGTATGAATACAAATATGCTGAAATCCACACAGAGGGAATATGTTAAAGATAGACTTTCCTTTTCTGTTGAGAAATCTTCCTACTGTGTGCTCTAAAGGATACTGAAGTTTCCTGTTAAAGGAATGCAGAAATAAGGATTTTTACTGAATAAAGCCACATGATTTTATTAGGGGAGGAAGGAATCTGGCAGTCTTCAAGTGGAATAAGACAATTATCATTGCATACAATAAAATTGGCACCAATTAATTCATTTTCTGCTTTTTTTGAATGCTTGCTATGGTAAATCGTAGCATTTGCTGAAGAATTCTTCAGAAGAATATGTACTGAGTATATTTCCTAGAATAATTGTCAGATATTACAAAATTAAGTATTTGATTTAGGAAACCACATCTTAATTTCCTCATCTACGGCATTAGATACATTTATATGTGCCTATTATGTATGCACACTTACATGAGTGTGTGTTTGTGTGTGTATAGTGCTGAGTGTGTTTGCATGTGTATAGTGTTGAAAAAATCACTTTTGTTTTTACTGTGTTCATCTGCAAAATAGAGCGACATCGTAAAAATTAAAAAATAGATGTCTATCATAAAACACTCCAAACCAACAAACTGCAAAACATTTCAAGTTAGAACATTACTACTTCTCTTTCCTGGCCCAGATTCCTATTATAGACTTTCTTAGACTTTAAGAAAGGAGTGCTGAAAAATCAGTGGAAAGGGCAAGGATTCCCAAAACTTAACATGCATTCCTCATTGAAGATGGGAAGAAACCCAGAGGAATCAGCTCACATATTTTCCAGTGCATTTGTATTCCCTTCTTGGACTCCTCTGTCCTACAGACATTTTCCCACCCTGGTCTAATCACCTGGTGTGCAGCTGAACTGCAGCCAGTGGACTTGGTTTCACCACTTGAAGCAACCCTTCTACTTTAAAGGGAAGAGCTGATGAAACTGCCAAACTCCACCAGTCTGAACAGAGAAATCTATAGTCTCTAGTGGATCTGTCCCCCTTTTGTCTGCATTCATGTTTTACTCTAAATGATTGTTGATTTATGTATCTAGAGTCAGCAAGAGTAACAGTGACTCATAATGACCCTGCTATGCCATTGCACATGCTATTGCTTGGTTTTGTTACTGCTACCATATTATTTCTATTCACTCATAGTGTTTCTGTTTTATAACAAATTCTTTTTTCCATGGACCTGGCTGTGTGCAGTACAGTCAGGCTGAGGCACTGCATGGGATCTTTGCATCCTTCCATCACAGACAGTGGTAAACACCAGTTTTTGCAACAGCCAGTTCCATTTTCCATTTCCTACTATATGTGTTAAAATGAAACATACTCAAATTAAAAGGCTCTTTTGAGTCACAGCTAGGAGGTCCATCTTTATTGGAATACTTTATTAGTCAACACTGTTTTGAATTTATTTGTCCTGTGTGTGTGCATCTCCAGAAATTACAATTGTGTATGGAAACAATTAATGGTAACATCCCATCCAGAATGTTCTCCCTATGATACTACAAGAAAATTGTTTCAACAATAACAGCTGGCCACATGATGGACCCTTTAGTCCTTTATTTTCACCAGAAAACTTGAATAAAGATAACAGAATTTGACCTAATAATAAGAAAATAAATTATATGACTATTGTAATAAAGCCCTGTGAAATATAAAGCCCTGATGTAATGGCAACTGCTCAACTCATACCTTTGAAGAAAGAGTAGTGCTAGCTGTTTGACTGAACTGTTGCAGGCAAATATATACTGCAAACAGCAGTTCCAAGAAAGTTGGAATACCAGAATAAGCTTTGTTCTTCTATAAGAAATACCAATTTTTTCTGAAAAGAAATATCATTATAGGGTAGTCAATATATTTTTTATACGAGACAGATAAAGAACCAATAAAGTTCTTAATGTTGTTTGTCTCAAAAAAGAGTACTTTGTTCTTCATGAAAGAAATGGGAAAACAAAAGTGAGCTTTCAAAATTCCAGCATTTATGTCCTTTCATGATCTTACATGAACAATGTAATTCAAAGGCTATCAGAAACAAAAGGTCTAGCAAACTCCACAGCATTCTGCATTTGGAATTTCCAAACAAACCTACCAAGGTGAAGTGTCTGTTGTTTTTTACAGTCTGTTCTCCTGCAACACCTCCAATATTTTTGTCATTAATATATGAAACCAAGTGCATCAATTACAGTTGCCATTAGAATAAAAACCTAATCTCAATTTTAAGAGTTGGTGTGCTCTAAAATAAAATAAAAATTATTTCTAGACATTGTCATGAACAGCACATCAGGGATTTCATATTTCTGAGAAGCAGCACTTAAAATCATGAACTCAGATATCATACAGAAGCTACAAATACATATTTTTAAAGTAACAAATACAGTATCCAGGCCCTTCACTGTTTTCTGCGCTCCAAGCCCTTATTCCAGCAGCAAAAAAGCCAGTGCAGAGATGCAGCATGTAAAAGATTCAGGAAAGGTACACATATCACTGTACATTCCTTGTCAGTGGAAATGGGCTGGGTACACCAGTGGAACAATGTAAACTCGAATTCTGACAGAAAGATTCACACTGCCAGTCGTTTTTCACAAGCTTTCTGAAGGTGACATTTCATCTCATGAATTTTCATCAGAAAATATGTTTCACTCCATAAAGGTAAAATCTATTGTCTTAAATATGTGCAGTGAATATTCTGATCTGAAATTTGCAAACATTTATCAAGTCAAGAATAAAGGTGTGCACTCTGATGGATCAGTCACAATTAAAGCGGTAACATAGCCATCACATATGCAGCCCTTGTGAAGGCTGCATACTTGTGGAGAAGTCTATGCAAATAAAGCATGAAATGTAAGAAAAAAAATAAGAAAAAAAGCAAAAAAATTACACCAAAATGATAATATTTATTAATATGGATGTAAAAGAGATATTAGCTGAACAGAAATCCAAAGGTTACTCCTGCAATAGTGAACAAATTAGTGATAGAATGTATTTTTTGGCCAAAGACCTGTTGCTACATCCTTATCATTAAGTTCTCAGCCACCAAAATCATTGTGCTTATGTATCATACTGGATTTTTCCAGGGGAGTAGTAGGAGGAAAGAACAAAACTCTGCCCCGGAGCTTCTTATCATGAAAGTAGGTGATGGTTTTCCAGTGCTTTTCTTCACTCTCTAGAAATACACTGTTTGTTGTTATGGAAATAGTGAGAAAAGCTAAATATGTAACGATGTTGGATGTTAATTATTGCAAATGCTTCTTAATGACAGTCAGTGGTATACTTTATTGTAATCTTCAATTCAAAACTGTTTTATTTTAAGAAGTGGTTAATTCCTGATTTCAAAAATGACCCTAAGACGCTGGGAAACAGGGTTGACTAGCTGCAGGGTGTGTACATGTATTTTTATTCCAAAATGGGTTTTTCTTGAATTTTTACTTACAGTATTTGGAAACTTACTTAGTTGGTGTCCTGCTGTACTATGTACATGACAAGCTTCATACAGAGATAACAGTACTGGAACCAGTCACTTAAAATCTAAAAATAAATGGTATAACTTAAGGCTTAAACAACCAGAGAGAGAGGAAAATTGGAGAAAAGAAAAAGACAGAAGGAAAAAACTGCTCTGGACATTGCCCAGTGGAAACAAACTATATAAGAACTACATTACTGAATCTGAACACAGCACAGAGCTTAGAGACAAAAACAATGAACCCATGATTTTCAAGAGAAAAAACATTCCATGGGTTCTATAAAAATGCATCTTCCTAACTACTTCATAGACATTTACAATTAGATGCCAGAACACACAGAATATGAACCATGTTTTCTGGAAATGGAGAGGAATTCACTTCTAACAAACTTCCTTGCTTTTGTCTTTACATCCTTCTACGGGTATGTCCTCTCTGAAAGAATGTTACGTTCTTTCGAAAAACATTCACTTGAGCATCAGCAGCAAGAAATAGTGAAAAAAATTATCTGTTTGTCTGCCTTTTTCTTAATTTATCATGAAAAAGACAAAACCATGTCAAGGAAGCAGGAAAAATGGAGGATATTTTATTACCATAATATACTGTAATGCATCCTTTATGATAGCCACTTATTTATGTAATTTTTAGATTCTCTTACTGTTTAACAGTAAGAGAGTTTATAAATGGAAAAATGACTATTTTGAGATAAATCTATTTAGTCATCATTGTTAATTTATTTTCATTCCCCTTTTATACCAATCTGTGATTCCTCTCTCCATTCCATTCATTTTGGCTGGAAATTTCAAGTGCATAGCCTTTTCCTTTCAGTAATTCTTTCAAAACTTATTTCATATTAGCAGAGCTAGTGATTTTTTCTCCTTTACTGTGAATCAAAATAAATCTTTTTTTTCCAAAGATAAAGAGTTTTCATTGCAAATTTGATGAATGAGAGAATGAGAATACCTTTAAATATTATTATTCTTTCTTTTGCTTTAGGAAATGAGAAATATTCTGCAGTTTAAAACATAAATAACTCATACATACATTAAAAAAAGTCCTTTAGAGATTTGATGTGACCAGTATTGTCACACAAAATTGTGCTATTTCATAGCTGTTATGCAGAGTTGTCTGCAATGTAGGTAAGCAACTTTAACAGCTAATGCAATGGATCAGAATATTCCTCCGGGATGAACAATGATGGAAATTGTTTGGGTCAGGCAGTCCCAAAGAGTAATGTGTATTCTTCCTAAAATCTACAAGGACTGAAGAGAGAGGATACGTTAAACCTGCTTCCCAGTGGTTTCCAGATTCATTTTGAATATATTTCTGCACATAAGTCCATAGGTTTTGGTTAGAAAGATTTCTTTTTCTTGTTTGCTTACAATTTGTGCTTGCAAGATCATCCTAAATTAGAACCCATGCTGACACTATAAATGTGTGTATTTCTTTTTGGAACTAAACAAAACACAAAAAAAAGAAACGAGGAAGTATCTTATTAAAACAGTATGTATATCATAATAATTAGGTGCCTAGCACCATTGTGTTGGACTTTAATAGTATCTCAAGGGTTGTTAGATTAATTTTTCAATTGAACAAAGGTGAATTTTCAAAGATTTAACAAACATAGGACATTCCTTTCAAGGTGAAAATTCCTTCTCCCTCTTCCTCAAATGAACTGCTTTGCTTAAGAAAACAAAAACTTGACAAGTCATAAATGCAATTGTGTTCTCTCAGGTAAGGAAAATGTTCAGATGGAGAATCAGTTCAGACTGTGAGCTAATGCAGCCTCCTCAGTACGTCAGAAGAACTGTAAATCCTATTCAGAAGATTTTCACCCAAATGAAATGGATTTTGGCTATGCTCCTGCCCTGGATGGGTACTCTGAAGGTATCCATGAACTTTCTATTATTAATCAGAAAATACACAGAAAGATGGAGACTCAGCACCCTGCAAATTCCATGGCATTTCACTGCCCCACTTTTACTGGAGAGAAAATTGTTATTTTGTACTGATTTTTGCTGATCACTTTTTAGTGGTAGTAATATAGCAGGAACTCTAGTTCTCACAGTGGAAATACAGACAATCAGAAAACATCCCACCTATCTACATCTTTACTTCTTAAGGGGATAATTTTGTGAGAAAGATTGAGTGAGGATAGTATTAATAAATCCCAATTTTCTATCATAGTACAATAGATAAATGTTAGTGGCTCATATTGATAAAAATGTTTGGAAAAAACATTTTCACAGCTAAGACCACAAAATTAAAAAAAAAAAAAAAAAAAAGAAACATACAGGAATCTGTTTCTAGGTATTGGGTATCTTTCCCTCATTCTTTATATTTTGAGAAAATCACCACCTTCATTAAATGAGTCTCATTAATATCATACTCCTAGATATAAATGCTCCCATTTAGGCTGGAATTCAGTTAGCAACCCTATTTTGGTCCGTATGGAATTGGCTTAATTAAGACGGACTAATATTTTGGACCAAACTAATTAATAGCTTAGTAGTGGATTCAGCTGTAAGATTTTCAGCAGTCTTAAAGTAGGGTCTCTCAGAGGGAGACAGCTGCTCATCATTGACATGCAGGACTAATACATTCAGCTTGAAAATGAACCTGAGTAGCTCCAGCTGAGCTTTGCCACTGCAGGTATTGGAAATCTTCTTGTCACCTGAGTATTCCTAGTGCCTTTTCCATCTAATTAGCTCTCATATCCCAAACCAAAGTTACAGAAAAACTGGTGTACTCTTGCTGACTGAATTCGTAGTGGAGTAGAAAAGATCAAGGAGCAGAGAGGGCTGAAAACCCTGTCCTGCCATCTCCCATGGAACTGCAGCACTGCCACCCGTTCCCAGAGACTGAAGAGGTGAGCTGGATGGTGCTTCCTTCAAGAGGGAGGGAAAGGATAAAGGGGTAGCTAATAATATAAATGGGACCTGTGTCACTTCCCTTCTTTTACTGCTGTTCAGGTTACAAAACTCATCGGGTCTCCTGACAGTTACTGACCTGTATTTCTCACCTTTTCCTTCTAATTTGTTTCACCCTCTCCCTTTATTATGTTGCATGTATAATAACAACAACAAGATGAGATGTTTATTTTATACTTATGCACTTCCAATAGCACACCCAAGTCACCTGAGACCCCTGGATGGGATGTAGGGGTGAATCTTGAATTTGCTTACTTGAGTTAAAGTCATGACAACATGATATTTGAATTACTTATCCTACAAGTTATTACTTGTAACTTCTGAAATTGTTTTCTTTCAAATTTAAGAATTGCACATGACTTTGCTTCTTTGTGTCTCAACACAGCGTTCTTCTTTGGGAAAAATGCCTTCCTCTCCACTGGGAGTCGAAGATCAAGTCCTCAGTGGATCAAGTCCTTGGACAAAAATTGTGATGGTATAAATTGCTTGCAATCCTGCAATTATTTTTAAGCGTATATCATCTTACATATACATACTACATATATATTTCTTGCATGTACAGACGACAAGAGTTTAGAAACAAAGGAATCAATCTTCACTGTAAAAAGTCACTATAGCATATGAACATTTCTATAGCAATTTATTTTGCTTTGAGTAACATATGAATGCTTCCTTAGAGTAGCCATATAATTCTAATGACTCTTCTGATGTTTGCAAATTATGCTAACAATGATCTTTTCTACATGTAAACATAAAACCTCACAATTATGTTAACACTGTGGTCAATATAGAGAAGGGATTTCTAATCCATACAGGTTATAATTTATTGCTTTTTTTCTGCCACTTTATTGTACCTTCCTTTAAATGAAGCAGCACTAAAATTTGCTAATTATTTTTCTCACTGCAATGTTTGTAGTGCCACCTTTTAATTTTTGTCCAGATTTCTTCATACAAGCAATGTTTCTGAAAATGGTATTCTTGCAACTTAATAAAAAAGGTATTACCTTAATCATATGTAGTTTCTTCTGTGAAATCAACATGAAAGAAAAATGTTTGAGGAGGTGACAGCTTTTATATTTTGTGTTTCCTTGGTCAGAGCTCCTGCTGTTGCATAGCTCTCAATGTAAATGGTTTGCTAGAAAAACAGTGGTGCTGTTTTTCTTTGTATTTTATTTCATTTGGAATTGATCATGCCTCTGCTTTCAGATTTACCAAGATTAAAAGTACGTCTGAATTAATGTCAGCTTTAGATATCTATTATAATGTCAGTAGCTTGAAATCTATTATATTAATGTCACATATATCTAGTAAAGTAGAAACACAAGTCTAGGAATAGGGATTTTTAGAGATCTGACCTGTTTTTTCTTCTTTGCTGTAACTTTCTGCCTGATAATAAACAAATGTCTGCTGGTTCACATTCTCTGAAATATCTAAGTGCCCATTTGTCATTGAAATCAGTCAGTCACCTACAGCTAAGAATATTTAAAAGACATCAGCCCCAGTCTCCTGTCTGTATGGTGGTTATTCAGACAGGAGGTATCTATAGATATTTAAACCTTAGTGTTCTTGCTGCACTGAAGGCCAGCAGTGTCCTGGGCCACATAGGTAGGAGAGCTACCAGCTGCCCAAGGGATGTCACCCTTCTCCTCTAATACACACTGCTGAGACACGTTTGAAATGCTGTCTTCTTTCTAAGAGAGAAATGGGCATTCTGGATCTAGCCCAGCAAAGGGTCACAAATGCCATCAAGGAATGGGAGTGTCTGTTGCATGAGGAGAGGTTGAGAGAGATATGACTTCTGCCAGAAGAGAATGCCCTGGGGGAGCAATATCAATGTGTATATGTTGGCATGGTGTAAATATGAGCTAGACTTTTCTCAGTAGTAGCCATGGAAAGGACAAGAGGCAACAACCACAAACTAAGATACAGGCAATTTATTTTAAACATCAGAAAAACATATTTACTGTGAGAGGGTAAGACACTGGCACAGGTTACCCAGAAAGCCGATGAACTGTTCATTCTTTGAGATACTTTAAACTCAGCTAGACCCAGATCTGATCAACCCACTCTAAACTAACCACACCTTAATCTGGGAGCTGGACTATGTGATTTCCAGAATTGCTTCCCACTTCAGACATTCTGTGATTTTGTGGTGAGGATCTTCCCATATAGTTGAGAAAGAAAGGAAGTGAGGAACAAAAAGAATTTTCTAAAAACATACCTTAAAGACAAAATTAATTTAAAATGTGAGATACTCACTTTTCCAAGTATGCAATTGAACAGTTTAGCGTAGACTCAGAATAAGCTGAGTTAGAAGGGAGCCATTAGGATCATTGAGTCCAGCTCCTGGTCCTGTTCAGGACAGCATAGTCTCAACTCTGCCAGGATTGATGCTGTGACCACTTCCCTGGGGAGCTTATTCCAGTGTCTGACCTCTCTCTGGGTGAAGAAACTTTTCCTGATATTCAACCTAAACATCCCTGATACAGCTTCATGCCATTCTCTTGGGTCCTGTCACTGATCACAGAGAACAGTACCTACCCCCTCTCTTCCCCACAAGGAAGTTGTAACTGCAGTGAGGTCTCCTCTCAGTCTCCTCCAGAGTGAACAGACCAAGTAATGTCATCTGCTCCTCAAATGGCTTCCCCTCAAGGCTCTTCCACCATCTTTGTTGCCCTCCTTTGATCACTCTCTGATAGCTTACTATCTTTTACTGCAGTGCCCAAAACTGCACACAATATTCAAGATGAGGCCATCCCAGCCCAGAGCAGAGCAGGACAATGCCCTCCCTTGCCCAGCTGGCCATGCTGGGCCTGGTGCCCCCAGGACAGGGCTGGCCCTGCTGGCTCATCTCCAACTTCCCACTGGCCAGGAGCCCCAGGCTGATTTCCACTGTGCTGCTCTCCAGTTCCCTATACCTGGAAAAGCATGTGAAATCTTGGGACTTACACATAATTCTTATTCATTAAAAGATCTGGGGATATCTTTTTGCTTGTTCTCATTCCCTCCTGATCTCAAAATGTTGTCATGCATCATACTGAAGAGGTTATGCATATTGTATAAAACTTGTTGTCAAATTAATAAGCTGAACTTAGATATGAAACAGAAACAGTGGGACACAGAATCATTTTATGAACAAGGAATAATACATGCTTCTTTGAGAAAATGCTAGATCTAGAGCCCTTCAGATTTTCCTAAAATGTTAAATCACATCTGGCTTGTTACATCAGAAGCTGTAGATTTATAATATTAAATATTACCTCCTTTGAAGTGAGAGAGGTTTGATGTTTATGCGGAGGAAATATAATGATTGATTTAACTTTAGAACAGACACTGGGCAGGACTATGCATCATTATCAGCTCTGTTTACCTATTAAGGAAAAAAATCATCTCTCAAAATACAAAAGTTATTGTTAGGAAATCAGACAGCATGTATGGTCAGAAATAAAAAATCAGCACAGTATTTCTTATGCTCTAGAACTATTGGATAATTTTAGAAAAAACTAAGAAAAATTAGAAGGATGAAGAGGATAAGCAGTAAATTTTTGCTGAGAGCAGAAAAACTGGCAACAACTGAAATAATGAAATTGTTATAATGTAAATATAAAGATGAAATGTACTGAAATGCTGAAGTAGTAGTAGTCTTTTAAAGGGATTGAAATAGAACTTAGGGAATCTATAGAGATCTGGAATTACAACTACTTCTTGTAGTTGTAATTGGGAGGTTGCAAGTTTACTCAGACCTCAGAATACAAAGTTTTTCTCATAAAGTATGAAATGAAACACATGCAGGTATTTGTCCTCAACATCTTTGTGCTTTTGAGACATGAATACCAAAGCAAACAGGACATTAAAAAGATTTTTGCTAAACTAAATTATTACAGATGAATGTTGTGAGTCAGTTAAGCCATTTTTATGACTACAAAAAGAAGAGAAGATTCCAGGTATAAAAGACATCATTTGGTCTGACATTTTGTACCACTAAGGTGACCAGGTAAAGAAAATTCAGTTCTGTGAGACCTGGAAAGGCAAGCTACAATAACATAGCTAGCCTTGTGACACATAATGAGGTCAATCTGGTTGTAATGACACGACAGCTGCTACAGGTTTGTAAACATGCTTTGATAGTATAAATGAAGCATATCTATTCAATAGAATGTGCAATTGGCAAAGACAAAAATCTGTGCTAGGCACCATGCTAACAAATAGACAGCATTGCACAGTTCAGTTTGCTAGCATAGATACACACATGGGTTCCAGCACCTGTTCTGCTGATAACTAAACACGTCCTCACCTGGAGCATTCTGGTCTCTGCTACCCATACATAGGTACAGATAGCCCAGAGTATATACCATAAAAGTCTGGTATGCTCCATGTCTGATCAAAAAAGTGTTCTCTCTTCTTCCATTCTGTTATTACACCACCTCTTTTGTTTTTATCCCACAAAGCCCTCATTCTCAAGTCTAAAATGTCTGTTGTGCTGTTGCTCATTATGCAATATGTTTATTGGACCCCTTCTACTGAACTCTTAGCAGATTACAGATCTGTAAAAGAACTAAAATGGCAAAAAATGTAAAGATATCAGATATATATATCTCTCTCAATTATCCTAGAAAGTCTGACCTTGTGAACTTTTGCTTTTTAGTCTTTGCCATCTTCCGCTCCCCATTCACTACGTAATATAGCATAAATGATGGTTTTTAAAAAAAAGTCTTACTTTTGGTGTAAGCCACTTTTCCATTGTCAAGGGGCTGTTGTAAATTGGTTGATCCAAGCTAATTCAAGATGGAATTTGAGAACTTCCATTCTCCTTCACCTACACTGGAAGATGGAGGTGTGATCAACAGCAGTGCTCCTAGACACTTTAACAGCTCGATATTCTTTATCTCGCGTTTCTGCAAGGCATGTTGCCCGTTTCTCTCATCCTCACATAAGAATTTAATTTTAAAGCTTTGACCTGGTTAGAACAGACCTTTGGTGAGGTTATTAAACATTTTTCTATGGCAGGTTTATTTTTATTGACTTACAAGCTTTTCAGATTAAAAAAACCTCCAAAAACAAACCAGAAGTGATCTCCCTAGACCCACCCTGAAAATTCTAATTCTTCATTTTTGTAACACTGGAATTTCAGTTTTAGCAGTTAAAGAAGTCTGAAAGGCTATTCCAGGGGGAGAGGGGTGGTAGAGGGAACTTTGTTTACTTTTTAACTTTAAATAAGTTGTTCCACTTCATTTTTTTTTCCTTTCTGGAGAAAAGTGTATTGCCTAGCCTGCTGTAAACAAGTGATATATTCTTTCCAGTAAGAATTTATAATGTTCCCACACTCTTGACTGGGGCAAATGCAATCCAGCAGTTAGCAGTGTGCCTCACAGGACACCCATGGATGTGTAGCCGAGCTGGGCTGAATGATCAGGGTAGGCATAGAGCATCTTGGCACAGCAATCTGGACCAGCCATGCTAAAAGATGGGCACCAGGAGTCTGCACTGAACTAAAGCGCCACACGAAATCTGCAGCGAATCCTCCTGCCTCCACAAAATGGAACAGTTTCTGAGCTACACTGCCCTTTCAGTAGCACTTCATGCAGTTACTGTTACTGCAGTCAGTTCAGTTAGTTCACTTATTCCATCCAGAATTTCTCTCCACTTTTGAATGTTTAAATTTTTAATTTAGAGATAGAAAAGTGAGAAAACCAAGAAAAATTCCAACTTTTTAATAAAAAAAACCTAAAAACAACCTCATTTTTCTTAATAACCCATGATTTATGACAAAAATTAACTCGAGTGAATTTTTATGGTAATAAGTTATATCACAAAATATTTATTATGGACAAACTAGAACGGGCTCAAAAACTTAGAAGAATGTCCAGCTATGATAGGGTCATTATTTTAATGAAGTAAGAAGACTATACATGTTGACAAAGGAGAAAAATAAAACATAAATTTCTTAATCTTGTCATATTATAATTAGGAATAACAGGACCAGTGGGATTTAACACTGATAGGATTTACTATTAATGGACTTCATCCTTAAGAATTCATAGCACCAAGGTTTCTGCTAACATCAATTAGGGTCCAGAGTTTCACAAGTATTTCTGAGACCTCATAATGAGATTCTGGGGTGCTTCTAATCTGTAATTTTTGTTGTCTCAAGTATTTTCTCCAAATCCTGTCTCTCTTGCTTTGACTTTTCTGACAGAATTATCATCTGGGCCTCAAATATCTCCTGTAGATAAGGACATGGGCTAGGCAAGCCCTAGGCATGGCTTTTGAGCTCACAGTGGTGATAGTTACTTGAGCTGTGGACACTGTGAGCAAAAGCTACAGCCTAGAAGGGCTTTTAACTGTACAGCAAGAAGTATTTAACACTCCTGTTTCCTAGGATTGAATAACCTGCTA